AGTCGGTATTATGAAATATTTAATTGAGAAAAAATTCCGACCTCCCGAGGTCGGAATTTTTAATGAATTACAATAAAAACCGACTTCTTGATGTCGGTATTATTTTCTCAATTAAATATAAAAAATACCGACCTCATGAGGTCGGTATTTTATATTAATTTATTTTTACTATTTAATTTTACCGACATACGGAAGTCGGTATTATAATTTGTTTTGTTTTTTATTTTACACAAAACCTATTGAGATAAAATATTGTTTTTTTTTTTTTTTTAATACCGACATCAAGAGGTCGGTTTTTATTGTAATTCATTTTTTTCGAGAAAATTTCCGACCTCCAGAGGTCGGAATTTGGTTTTCACGCTTTCCGCAAACCGACCTCCGGATGTCGCTTTTAAAAGTAATTAGATGAAATAAAAATACCGACCTCCGGATGTCGCTTTAATTAATAGAAATTAGATGAAATAAAAATACCGACCTCCGGATGTCGCTTTAATTAATAGTAATTAGATGAAATAAAAATACCGACCTCATGAGGTCGGTATTTTAATTACATACTACCGACATTCGGAAGTCGGAATTATAAAATATTTAATTGAGAAAAAATTTCGACCTCAGGAAGTCGGAATTTTTAATGAATTATAATAAAAACCGACCTCTTGATGTCGGTATTATTTTCTCAATTAAATATAAAAAATACCGACCTCATGAGGTCGGTATTTTTATTGTAATTTATTTTTTCCGGGAAAATTCCGACCTCCGAAGGTCGAAATTTGGTTTTCCCTCTTTATTTTGCATAAAAACCGACTAGTTGTAAATACCGACCTCCGGAGGTCGGAAATTACCGACCTCCATTTGAGGTCGGAAATTTTTAGGTCGGTATTCACTGTTTTTTTAGTAGTGTTGGTCGCCGGCAACAATGGTGGATGTGTGTCAAAGAAGACGAAGTGACACCATGATTTTTGATCGGAGGCTTCCACAGACTTATTTTCTCTATTGCTTTAGATTTTTGTTTGTTTCTCCTTTTTGTTGTCTCAGATTGTTTTGACTTTATATTTCTGTTTGTTTGTGTTATTTTAATTTTAGGCTATTAGTGGATTTGGTCTGTTTGGAGTTTGTACGTTATCCGGGTGGTTCTTGTACTTATTTGCTTTGTTCATTAACAAAATCGCCTTTCGGCTTATTTTTTTTTTTTAAAAAAGATTAATGAATTTTCATAAAATTATGTATATTTAAAATTTTGTGATCACAAATTTATTTATATAGAGATATGTGAATTATCAATGCGGCACATTAGGATATTAATATTTAATCTTCTATTATGAACTATGGTAAGCTCATTTGCTAGAATATAATTGTATAAAATTTAAGAAAATTTTGATAGTTCTCATAAGTTATGAAGTTTTTATGTTTATGAGAAAAAATACAACTTATCTTTTTTTTCTTCCATTCTTACTGTTTTAAGACATGTTAAGAAGGTAGAAGAGACCAAAATGAAACAGAAAATGAACTTTTTTTTATCAACACAATATATTCTATGTTGTACACAATATTAAGCATATATACCTTTCAGTTTTCACTATAAATATCAGCAGTACTGGTCCTAAGTCTTCTACTGCCTAAACAAAGAAAAAGAAAAAGATCATGTATTCCTGTAATTTTGTTTTTTAATCTAAATAAACTTCGCGTTTAAATTCATTTGAAAAATTAATGAATTCATCACATCATCGGCCTTCTTCAACTGTGATTGTCAACTCAATTTTGGAGAAGCTAGGTGGTGTACCAGATGAAACAGAAGTTGAATTAGAAACATTTCGCCTCGACACAAAAGCCGGTCGATTAGGTTTTGGAAGAGACGTACTTTCACTACGAAGCATCATCACAACATTTGACATGGAAGGACGATCACCTGGATCTTCTTGCACACATAAGAGTCCAACGTTTATGCACGTCATTGCTTCTTTCGGGTTGCATGATTCGAGCAATGAATGATCCAGCAAATGTAGTGCTCTTTTTTCTTTCCAGTAATTCCATGCCTGTGATATCATGATTTAGAATAATGAATATGAAGTTCAACGTACACATTGGAAAAAAATTAACGTGTACTCAAGGCACTCACATGGACCAAAAGGTTAGATGCTTCTTTAGATTGATAAAATCCTGTATTTCTCCTTCCGGTTACTATCTCCAGTATAACTACTCCTAAGCTGAATACGTCTGACTTAATCGAGAATACTCCTTCCAATGCATATTCAGGAGACATATATCCACTAAATCAAATAATGATGGAATAATCATGAGTCAGATGTGCGATGAAATTAAGCAAAGTTCATAACATTGTCATGTTTGTATTACTTACTAAGTTCCAACCACTTTTTTGGTACTTGCTTCTGTTGTTTGTTCTTCAACTATCCTTGCCAAGCCAAAGTCTGAGATTTTTGGGTTCATTTGTTGATCCAAAAGAATGTTACTTGTTTTCAGATCTCTATGAATGATTCTGAGCCTTGAGTCTTCGTGAAGATAGAGAAGCCCTCGAGAAATTCCTAATATGATCTCAAATCGTTTTTTCCACTTCAATGACTTGCTAAGTGTTGGATCTTGTTTTGGTGACCAAGGAGAAAATTTAGCAACATTGATCAAGTAAATAGAGTGATTAAGAAATAAGATCAGTTCAGATATATATACTAACCGAATATGAAGGTGTCTAGACTTTTGTTTGACATATACTCGTAAAGTAGAATCTGTTCATACCCTGTGATACAGTAGCCTAAAAGTCTGACTAGATTTCTATGTTGAAGTTTCGAGATCAGTATGACTTCGTTCCTGAATTCTTCAATGCCCTGTCTAGATTGGGTTGATAGCCTTTTCACAGCAATTTCTTGTCCATCTGAAAATATACCCTGAAAGATTTTCGATGTGGAAACTAGGATGCTATGAAATGACTACATAAAGTTGAACTCATGTTAAAGTGAATTATTAATGCTAACCTTATAAACAGGACCAAAACCTCCTTGTCCAAGTTTATTTACATCTGAGAAATGATCTGTGGCTGCTAGTATGTTTTCCAAACTAAAGAATGGAACGGCAATGTTTTGCTTATCATTTTCGTTAATCAGGTTTTGTGCTTCTCTTTCTCTGTTTAACCAATGTGGAACTGGATTGCCTCCTGTGCTTTGTTGGCATGCTAAGATTAAAAAAAAAAAAAAAAAAAAAAAAAAAAAGCAGCCTTTTGAGATATCTCTCTTTGATCTGATTCGGAAAAAAAAATGGAAGGAGAAATTTTTCTGGTAGTGGTAAAACAACTACTCCAGAGATTGTAATAGAAACACAAGTACCTGTTTTCTTTGACATTATTCTCCTATGATAAATGTAGCTAAAGCTACTTAGAAGTAGAACTGCAACGGCTACCACTCCAGATATGATGACTTTAAGCTTCAGGGACAATTTCCCTGAATTTGCATCTGATGACAGAAAGAAGAAACATAAGGAAATTGTGACAAGAAATAGAACATTTTGGGATGGGTCTGATTCTAATAACGTGATAAGAAATGGACCTTGAGGCTAACTCAACTATAAAAGCTAGTTTATGAGGTAAGAACTGTCCAAAACCATATGACAAGACCATCCCATCCTTAAAGAGCTGATGTGGAAACTCAACGAACTGGTAATGTTTACTGGCGAAAGGTCTTCAACTCATTTTGGCTAGTTGTAACTAATCAAAACATGAAAACCATACATTTGGTCAGTGACTATCTTATGTGTGTTTATAACGTAGAGGATGTTGCGTAAACTTAAATTTGGTCAGTGGCTATCTGATGTTTGTTTAAAACATGGAGGATGTTTGCGTAAACTTATAATTGCCTAGTTAATTCTTATGAGCACTAAGATTTAGAGAATGTATAGACTCGTACTGTTGAAAGACATGAGGTAAAGAACTGAAACATCAGAAAAGAAAAAACAAACATCCATAGAAAGCTCTATCGGTAGCTATTTGGAGATGAGCATTGCATACATAGAAATGGCAAACACTATCAAATACAACTCCTAACTTTAAACTTACCTTCACCGTATGCTTCGTCAGAGACAGCAAGTCTGGTATAAATCACACTTCCACTACCATCTCCTGCTGAGAGTTGCTTCAGATTCACAACTTCATTCCAAATTGAACACACATTATTATCATAAGCATATGCATTACATGAAGAACAGTTACTCAAGCAAGTCGACTGGCATTCCTCAGAACTAGCAGCCGACACAGTTAGAGAATATCCGGGCAATGTCACATTGGGATTCTCCGAAAAACCGCCCTTCATTTTACCATCACCACACTGGCAAGCTTTCCTTCCTAACACAGCCACCAGAATGATCATTCAAGTCCCATTCTGCATCAGATCTAGGTGTGAAACCAGTCAAGCAATTACAGAAGGTCGTGGACTCCTTATTGCAAATGCTAAAGGCACCACAACTAGCATACACCTCACAGGGTTGTCTTGGTTGAGATGTAAAAATTTGCCATTCCTTTAAATTTTCGGCCCAAATCAGATGCCTGATTTGCCCAGAGACATCTAGTGTTAATCTGATTTTGGAAGAGTTTCGGAGGGAATAAGTAAAATAGCTCTCATTTTCATTATCAACATATGAAAATCTGTATCTATCAGAATTCAAACTCATCTCAGGCATCATGTCGAAAATATGCCCATTCCAAGATCCAGTAGCTGAGTACATCTCAGTCCTGTTCCATTTTATCAAGAACTGCTTATTACTCTGATCCATTTCCACTGAAAAAATCCCCGGAGATGGATCCTCTGAGTTCTTCCAAGAAGTAAGAATCTTTGTTGTATTTGTACGCTTGTCATACTTCACCTTAGCATTCGGCAACCATGTATTAGTTGGGTTATCGAAGCTTTGCCAAAGTGGTGTAGTTGAATTTGATCCATCACTCAAAATCAAATTACCATCATCAGAAAGAATTGCCATTAGTGTATTTGAACTAATTGTGTTGCTGATATTTGTGGACCAAAACAAGTTTTTGGATTCAGTAATAAGCACTAAATTACCATCCAAAACTTTCAACTCAACAGAATTCATATCAGTAGCAGAAAGTGGCTTCTCCCTGTTTGCTACCCATACTATTGTTTGTGGCATTACATTCTTATACCATATACCAAGATAGTAATTTTTCGAACTACCAGGAAAAAAGAATCCTAATTCAAAGTTTTCCCCCGAAGAGACGATAGTTTGGTTTCCAGAAACAGAGTGATTTACTGAGATCGTTTCAATTCCAAGAGACTGATGAATATTGATAGATAAACATGTTAGGATCACAAAAAGTAGACGAATCGAATAATGTTGCAGTTGCATGGTTGCACCAAATTTGTTAACAGAAGATGCACATCATCAATTAAGATCATGTTGATAGTCATGGTAAGACTTGGTTTTTTGGTTCAATCAGATTCATATGAGACTTGTCTAATAGTCTAAAAGTCAATAAGCACGCGTGTTTGGTATGGTTTGGTTTTGGTTGTGTCAAATTAGGCGTCCGGAATGCAAAGAAATGTATTTTCGGTCAGCCTCAAAAGTTAGCTGATAGAAAAGGCTTATAAGGAGCTCAAGGTTCTCGTCCTTCGTCACCACGTGGGATTCATTCCATTTTTCTTTACTTTATTTTTTTGTAGAAGGTATTCAGGCCATTCATCAATGTGTATGCTTTAATTTCTTATTTATAAATTAGGTTCGTGTCTTTTCAGAGTCAATTCCCTAAATGGTCACCCAAGTTTGGGGAATTGCCTTAAAATATCATTTATGTTTCACTTATGACCAAAATATCACTCAACTATCACTATTTTCCTCCAAATATACTTAAAACTTTAAAAACTTTACTCTCTCCTAATTGGCATGCCATGTTATTAAAGTCTTTTTTAAAATAATAGACTTATTCAATTCATCGAACTCATTTAACTAAATAATAATCTTATTATTTTTAATATATATATATATATATATATATAAATATGTTTATTAAGAAGAAAACTTGAAGACTCTTTTATCATAATTAAACTTTTTTATTTTTGTATGCTATGAAAAAATAGGGTTTTAAAATATACTATATTGTCATCAATTTTAAATACTTATAAACACATATATTCAAAAAAAAATATCGATATGCAAATCACTCATGAATGTTAACTTACATCAATTAATCATAAATTGTATAATGAATCAATAATATTAAATGTCAATTAACTATTACAATATAATTAATTGTGTACTTTGAAATTCATGCTTACAATATTATTAATTTTTTTTTAAAAAGGAAGTGACTAATATTATTACTAATTTATTCCCCCCCCCCCAAAAAAAAAATGCTAATACCTCAAAAGTCTCCTTCTATTCTAGTTGATATGTCATGTCATTAAATCATCATTTAAAAAAAAAAAAGAATAATAGACCTATTTAATTCATTAAACTTATGCCTCTACAAAACAAATATATAAATTACGTGAGAATTTATGAAGATTATAAAAAAAAATACTTTTAAAATATCTAATTCCTTCATATTTTTCTACCAAATAAAATTCAATGAATTTTTTTTGTGTGCAATTGTTACCTGAGAATTTTTGAAATCTCTAAGCAAATTATTTGAAAATTTTAAGTAATTTTTTTCATAAAAGTATTCAAATAAATTTGTAAGGTTGACAAAATAGTTGGTAAAAAGGAGAAATTTATTATTTAACTTTTGTTTTTAATTTAATTTTGATCAGTGATTTATATATCAATATTTTATGAATATATGTGTTTATAAGTATTCAAAATTGATGACATTATAGTAAGTTTTAAAAAAAAAAAAAAAACTATTCTTCATAGCATAAAAAAAACAAAGTTAATTATGATAAAAGATTTTTAAGTATGAAAATTTCTTCTCAATAAACTAATATATATATATAAAAAAAAATTAAAAAACAACAAGAGCATTATTTTAGTTAATTGAGTTTGATTAATTAAATAAGTCTATTATTTTTTTTAAAAAGGGCTTCAATGACATGGCATGCCAACTTGGAGAGAGGGGACTTTTGAAGTGGTAAGTATATTTGGAGGAAAATAGTGATAGTTAAGTGATATTTTGGTCCTAAATGAAACATAAATGTTATTTTAAGGCAATTCCATAAACTTGGGTGACCATTTAGGGAATTGACTCTGTCTTTTCACTTGGTAGCATACACAATGCAACTCTAATGGGTTTGAGAGTTTGTATAGGGGAAAATTTGTGAGAAAAAGTGTCGATCTCATTTTATGTGGCAACATTTTATTTTTTATCTGTCTAAGAGCCTGTTTGGATTGACTTAAAAAAAATAACTTTTAAGTCAAAAATAAAAATTCAAACTAAAATGATTTTTAAGTCAAAAAATAAAAAGTAATGGGAGACCTACTTTTGATTTTTGACTTATTTTAAGTCATTTTTTACCTTGTCAAATACTTCGTAACTTATTTTAAGTCATTTTTGACATATTTAGGGCCCGTTTGGCCATAGATTTCCCAAATAATATTTGAGGAAAAATTTGGCAAATAATGTTTGTCCATACAATTTGCCATTATTTGGCAAATATCCCAAATTCCCGAATACTAGTTTTTCTAGTATTTGGGCCAAATCACATTATTTGGGATCTTTTGAAAATTAAAATTTTACGCCAAACTTTTATCTTTTACAAAAACACCCTCTATAGTAGTTGTTTGCGTTGTATTACATAACTTTTTACGTGAACACCAAAGTAGTGATGAAATATTTCGTGGATATGAAAGTGATGATATGGTTGTTGATGAAAATGATGAACAATCGGCTTAGGGTAACAAAGTCATGTGTTTTGTCTACTTCACGATGTATGGAATGATGCTTGTTGCACTCACTCCAAACTACCACATTGCTCTAGTGTCATGAACACTACTTGTTATTTGTTGCAACGAAGATCCAATTGACTTGTAATACAAACTTATGATTTGTTTTGATAGTTTTTAAAACTTATGGGTATAAATCATATTTTCTAAAAAAGTGACTTATATTTCCCAAATACTATGGCCAAACACATGGTGAAATTTCACCCAAATTTTCATCCAAATAATATTTGCCAAAAATATTTGGAAATTTATGGCCAAACGCTAGCTTAAAGTTATTTTTCATATTTGCCAAACACTTTCAGAAGTCAAAAACTGACCTAAAAGTAAGTTTGACCGACTTTTAAGCCAATCCAAACGGGCTCTAAGAATTTTCTTAATGAATGATTTATAACTACACAAATATCTAAGAATTATTTTAGACTACAGATTTCAAAAAAATTCTTTTTTTCTTTAAACATTGTATCAGATTACGGTGCCACGTAAAATGAATTGGAAGAAATATTTAGTATAGTTATTCATCACTATTTTGTTTTCAATCTTCAAAGGGGGAATGGATGGGAAAAAAAGGAATTAAGAAAAATAAAAGAACCAACACTGACTTGGTCAATAAGTGAGAAAGAGCTGGCAATGGGTCGGGGGCAATTGTACCCTTAATTAAACATTTACTCACCAAGGTGGGAACACAATATTGTTGCCATCAAAGGTCAACATGAATAGACCCAAGTCTTTGCCACATTTGGATTTTACTAAAAAGGGAACAATGATTTTATACTTTCTACCTTCATAACTCACATCACATTTTAAAGGAATGGAGATCCCCCTTCACGCCCAAAGCTAACTGAAACGTGGATTACGAGCCCAAATAGATATGAACCTCGCTCTGATAATACGTAAAAATATGATATTTAGACATAATTCAACTTCAAAAGTTAGTTACTTCATAAGGAGGATTGCTTAAGTACGTACAGATCATTTGTCTATCATTAACCAATATAAGATTCTTAACTCATTCTAACAGAAATAAAGTTAATATCTACTCTTTTAGCTTTGAAACGTTTGGTCTACATGTTTTTAATGAACGAATCGGAGAGGGGCTGGAGTCACCCCCACGCATCCACCCCTATCTCAAAAAAACTGTAAAAAATAATTAATTTGTTTTTCGTTAAAATAATATTTTTTTTCTTAAAGTTTTTTTATCACTCCCCGCCCCCTTCCAGCCACTTCCAAAAAAAAAAGTTAATTTGTTTTCAAAAAAAATTAGATTTTTTCCTTACCCCACCCACCCCCACCACCTACACCCAAAAGAAACATTAATACCACTTTTCTTTCTTTTATGAATGAACCTTTTCTACCCACTATATCAATTTAACTATCCATGTTTAAATAAGTAATATGAATTTTTTTCGTTTTTACCCATTTTAAATAGGTTGGTACTTTAAATGAGTTGGGTACCCAACCTATTTAAAATGAGTAAATTTGAATAGATACCCATATAAATTACCTATTTTGCCACTCTATTCGTGTGCATCTAGACGTAAAGCAGATAATATCACAAGTGAATTAGATGGTCACACTTGGTATGTGTTGAGAATATAATCAAATAATAAAAGTGTACTCTCTCTAAAAACTTAAGTTTTTAGATGAGATGGTCACACACTTTAACATGGTATCAAAGCAGGCAAAGGTCCTGAGATCGAATCTCACCGCCATCCAAATCAAAAATAATTTCCACGTGCTTGACCCATGAAAAAAAAATTGGCCCGCATGTGAGGAGGTGTGTTGAGAATATAATCAAATAATAAAAGTGTGCTCTCTAACATCTTAAGTTTTTAGATGAGATGGTCACACACTTCAACAGTACGAAGCCACAATGCATACAACCTTGGATGACAATAAAATGTAACGTTTTTAAAGACACTACAAGTGTGATATGTATTGAAAAAAAGTTGATCAGTCTATGAATATAACTTTGAATTCCAGCGAGGTGTTGTCACTTGAGGGAAGATACAATGGAAAGATTCACTATTGAACTAAAAGGAAAGATATAGATGATTTTAACATAATGTTTTGAGTTATTCGTCGTGCATTTACATCTCTATGTATTGGCCTTCTTCTTCATGAGTTATCGTGATCATCTCTTTGTTGAAAGTGCTGTAGAGCTTAGAAGAGGAAGAAGATGTACTCGAAGCATTTCTTCGTGTGATAAAATGTGGCTGGCTTGGTCTAGGAAGAGTCATACTTTCGCCTCCAAGCATAAGAACTACATTTGACATTGTAGGACGATCACCTGGATCTTCTTGCACACATAGAAGTGCAACATTTACACATTTTATCACTTCCTTGTCCTCGAACGTATCAACAATAGTTTGATCAATCATGTCAAGTGCCCTGTCTTCCATCCACAGTCTCCATGCCTGTGATTAGTATTTTTTGAGTCAGTTAAAGCATTAAAACAGAATAGCAAATCAATTGAGGGAAGTTTTGGGTACTTACATAACCAGTAAGGTTTACTTCTTCGAAAAATTCCATGTTTCTCTTCCCACTTATGATTTCAAGCACTACCACTCCGAAGGCAAATATATCGGACTTGATTGAAAAGAGTCCCTCCAATGCATACTCCGGTGACATATAGCCACTGTTTTTAATATTTCATACAATGAGACATCAAAGGAAGCATATGTTTAGTGAAATCGGACCAAATTTTAGATCTCTGCCTCTCTGTGTGTGTGTGTGTGTTTGCTCTCCAAATGATCAAAGCTGAAAACAGTATTCAGAGACTTACTAAGTTCCAACAACTCTGGTTGTATTAACTTCTGTGCTTTTGCCTTCAATAATCCTTGCCAAGCCAAAATCTGAAATTTTGGCATTCATTTCATCATCTAACAATATGTTGCTTGTCTTAAGATCTCTATGAATAATCCTTAGCCTCGAGTCTTGGTGAAGATAAAGAAGCCCTCGTGCGATACCCAATATAATTTCAAAACGAATCCTCCAGTCCAATAATCGGCAGAATGTATGATCTATTTGCAATGTACAAGGTTAACTTTAGAGGTAATAAATCCAAAAAAAAACCATATATTTGCATAAAACGTTACAAAGAATTTTGAGGTCCGGAGTGGAGTATACTGACCGAATATAAATGTATCCAAGCTTTTGTTGGCCATATACTCATATAGTAAGATCTTTTCATTTCCCTCAACACAATAGCCTAGAAGCCTGACTAAATTTCTGTGCTGCAGTTTGGCAATTAACATTACTTCAGTTTTAAATTCTTCAACACCTTGTCCTGAATGATTTGACAACCTTTTCACCGCTAGCTCTGCACCTTCGAGAAACTTACCCTGTATGTATAATTTTTGTCAGAATCGTTGTATAATGAAAATAGAGAAATTTGAATGGTACATGAACAAAAGAACGTAGCCTAGCCTTATAAACAGGTCCGAATCCACCTTGCCCGAGCTTAGCTGCATTCGAGAAGTTGTCTGTAGCTACTAGTATGCTATTCAAGCTGAAAAATGGGACATCAATACGTCTCTTTTCATCTGCAGTGATCAAATCTTCACCGAAACTTTCTCTATGAGGAAAGTGCTCCATATGATTCCCCAAAACAATATCTCTTGCTTCTAAAATCAAACCAATTAAGTAATTAGTTATGAACTTGATCATAATATACCTCCAAAAGCTGAACTTGAGAAAAAACAGATGAGATTTTTCAATCATTATCACCTCTACTTCTTGTCACTCTAGTGTTCTGATAAATTATATAACTAATGCTGCACAAAGTTATAACTCCAAGAACTACAGAGATGGAAATAACAAGGGTTCTCTGATTCCGTGAGGATGCCAGCTTCGCGATGAATGATCCTTGTGTTCCAAGTTCTGAAGCAAATTTAAGAAATGAAATTTGTGTTGTTCATATAAGGTCAAATGGAGAACATACAAAAAGGTATCATTGAACTATTGGCAAGAAAATCATTTGTAGTAAGTAACATTGATCCATATACCTAAACTCGTGGAACAATTTAAAATCAAGCCATTCCATTTGTAATCAGTTTGGCATATACATCTTCTTTCTCCTTGTTTTGTCATAGTGCAACTAGAATTTGGCCAATCATTGCAATCTTCTGAAGTCTTGCAAAATGGCTCCAATGGTGGTTTCCAACTAATCAATATTAAATCTTTCCCTCGACTAAAAGGTCCCGAAGTAAGAATCTCTTTGGGATTGAAACACCAGTTTATCACCTTAAAAGGTGATGACTGGTTGAACCAAGAAATTCCTGTCACCGGTCCTTTGTCATCACAAGTACCAACAGATTCTTTATGAGCTGCTTCTATAACAAATGTTTTGTTATCTTTATCAAAGTTAACGACAGTATACTTGCCATTCGATGTGTGGAAGCTTACCTGACCAACTAAATCATCACATGAGAAACTATAATACAAAGGGTCACCACAATTTGGTCCACTGCTTAATGGATAGGGTATTAGGTTTATGCCACAAGGCTTGCAATTTCTCCTTGTTGCTTCTGCAATGCACAAAAATCAAATTACTGTACTATTTGTGGTCACACATTAGCTTAAACTGTCAGTGTACATAAGTTAAATCGAAAAAGAAATTACCAATATCGGAAATGGTGACACGAACAGAGATGTTGAAGCCACCAGCATAGTTCTCCTGGAGATACATGAGACTAGTGAACCAAATCAAGCATCCAGAATCATCGTTAGTATAGGCCTGGCACATACAGTTGCCTAGACAAAATCTCCTGCAGTCCTCACGGGTACTAATATTACTGAATAACTTGTCTGCACTCTTGAATTTCATTGACCTCAAATCCAAGAATGTGTCGAGTACTTCTACATTGTCTTCATTGCAAGAGCTAACTGACTTCCTCGAACAACCACCTGAAAATTCTCCTGCTTTTGAATTATCTGGAGGATTGGGCTTATACCCAGGCAAACATTTGCATACTTCCTCACGTTTGCTGTTACAAATGCTAAACTTCCCACAATACTTATACAAATCACACGTATCCTTTGGCGCTGACCACTTCAAAGACCATCCACTGATCTCCTTATCCCAACCGTAGAATTGTATTTCCCCCGAGGAGTTCATTAAGAGCCTACTCTTGTTAAATGTTCCTATCGATTCCAATGAATTATGGACAATGCTTTTATCAGTGAAGTTGGATAACATGTAGGCAACATAACCAGGCATCTCACCTAATCTTAAATTTCCTGATTTCGCAGACCCTTTCCAGAGAAATCCGCCCTGCTTTGGAATTATAACATATTCCTTGTCACTTGATTGATCTAATTGGAATTTGTAGTTCCCATTTTTGGAATGAATAAAATTCAAACTACTATCCATTTTCATACCTGGTAGGAATGTATCGGTTGGATTGCCAAAACTCTGCCACATTTCAGCTCTTTCATCAACTAAAACTAAGTTCCCTGTATCCAACAACTCTACTTTCCTGTTAGAACCACTACCTATTTGTGTGGAGAAATAAGTATACCCATTACTTATAACTTTGAGATTACCATCTTCAACGACAACCGAATTATCCTCATTCATTATTCTTTTACCCTGAATCGAATTATTCCAATTAGCAACCCATACAACAGTTCTAGGACTTAATTTGTAATACCATATGCCTACATATTTGTTTAACCCGTCATCATCAGAAAAGAATCCCATTTCGAAATTTTCTCCAGCAGATACCAGTGTTTCGCCATTGTCAACTAATTTACTGCGTCCATCAATGGTGCTCCTCCTTGCATCACATCGATGTAAAATCATCAATGCTGCAAACAACAACAACAAGAGAAAATTACTTGATTGCATTGTTTTATGGATTTGACTGAAGAACATAAATTCAAGTAGGTAGCTCTTGCCCTCTATTTCATTTCAGTGGAGGCCCTACATGACTAATTGTTTCATTGAGAAAAAAACTCCCACTTTCCGACATTGCCAGCTCTTTGCCAATTGACCAAGTCATTGGTGTTTTTCTAATGTCTTATATTGTATCGTATTATATTGTCTTAATTAATAACGTTTTTGATAGATGATATTATTTACATAATATCACACATCGGGAATTTGGATGATGAACTTATAAGAAAAGTGGCATATGTGGTAGAGCTATTATGAAAAGGTTAAACTAATAAATAAAAATAAAATAAGAAGAAAATATTAAAGTAACGATGCAATCACACCAAATCGATTATTATATAAAATGAGAGTTTTTGTTTTTACCTAATGATAGATCTAAAAATACGATACAATAAAATTTTAGTAACAATCAAAACAAATATTGTATTTGAACTAATAATATAATACAGTACAACGAGTAACAACTGTCCAAACGTGTAAAGGGGTTAAACACTCTAAATCGAGAAGTTCTTTATTCTCTAGAACCCAATACTATTTTGTTACAAATAGAGGGATATTAACCGTCTCACTCACCTTTTAATAGTTAATTAGTTTTTGGATTACTTCATCCATCCCAAAAGCTTAGTTATTTCCACTGGATTTATGTGAAACTTGTAATCTAATATAGTGTTTAAATTTATGTTACTTCCTTCATCTATTTTTATTTTTATTTTTATTATTATCATACATAATAAACAATAACATTAGCATAAACATATATTATTTATATTCTAATATATATACCATATTCAATACTGGTGGCGAATTTACTTACTATAAATGAGGTAAGTAAATTTGTGGTTTCTCCGTAAAATTATTTATTTTATGTATATATCTTTTGAAATTTGTATAATATTATTTGTTGATATTCATATTATGAAAAGGCAAAATGATGTACTTAATCAAATATTAGGTTATTTATTTAGAGGACTAGAGACTAATTCTCATTTAGTGTTTTTTTTTTCTTATTTTAAAAATCTTAAATTCGTCCTCCGGTCAATACAAATTTATTGATGAAATATAAGCCACATACTATAATGTATCTATTTTCAAAGTGGAGTGATTGATACGTGATAAAAAATGTTAGTCAAAGTCTAACTTTGAAATAGAGAAAATTTTCTCCTCAGTTCCTTTATGATCTTTTCTAAGCTGAACAACACTTCAACTCATCTACTCCATATCTTCTTCTTCTTCTATCGTTTTTATCGGGTGTTTTGATATCTGTCTTACAGTTTGACTATTTTGGATTCATGTCGTATAGGACTTCATTCTAGAGAAATATTTCCTAAAACTCTGGTTAAAGAATAAACGTACAGTCTCATTCACTACACCACATTCTTTAGTGGTTACTCCATATCTTTTCTTTCAATTCAATGTGAATCTTTCATTTAAATGTTTTAGGGCTGTCAATGTTTATTTAAAATTGATCAAACAGATTATTAGAGATTTTTAATAAAAATTGGATGATCCTACGTATATTTATAATCGTACCGAATAATTATATTAGAATTTTAATTTTATAAAAGAAGTTGAAGAAAATACCAAAATGAACCTAAGGTTGTTTTCTCTCTCTCTCTCTTCCTTTTTAAATGGTTGCAAACTTGCAATATTTGAGCTAACTATCAGTTTTATATTTTTAAAATTTTATATTGATACTACGTGTTATCTTTTCAAAGTTTATACGTCTAAATTGAAAAGTTTCTATTAGCAATTCAATTGTCGTTCTAAAATGGAACAAACTTTGTTATTTCTTGCAAGTCATCATAATTAATTTTTATGATTCTACATGACGAATGAAACAAATCCGATTTTCAATACAAATACTGATATATATATTATAATCACTGAATACAAGTTACAACGTAGAATATATACAACAAAGTAATAACACACTAACTAAGGAGAGATCAACAGAGAAGAAGTAACGAGAGAGAGATGAGATACAAGACCATAGAAAGGGAATGAGAGATATCAGAAAGTCAAAGCTTTGACATTATAGTTTTCATAGCCGTTCTTTGTGATCCCTAGTCTTTTTTAACAACAACTAATTGAGTCCGGATCCTGAATAAAACTCTCCAACATTTTATTCAACCTAACAATATATCACCTTGATCAGTGGTTTAGATCATTGGCCCTTATAGAATCATCATGGTTCACAACAACAAATAAGTCATCCTGAATGATTCTGATGTGATATATATTCAAAAATAAATAACCAAAAACTATATCGATACCGAATAGAAACTTAAATGATTGAAACGATTTAGAAAAATCTAATTTTTGTGCTACGAAATGAAAGAATAACTATAAAGTTAAAAATTATATAAGTTTCATAAAATAATTGTTCTAACATTTGACACGCCTAGTTTCGTCTTCCGTGAAGTGATTATTTTTTATAAAAAAAATGGGGATAGGGAAGGGGAAATTGGGAGGGGATTATATTGTGAGGAATCAAATCCTCACCAATAAGGTAAAAATTTAGGTAACCAACCAACTAAGCTACTAATATTGTGATTAGACATCACTATAATCCTTGTCTGGTCCAACATTTGTTTCGGACTTTATTGTCGTATCTCACAAATAATTCCAATTTCCAGGAAGCTTTTTATAATGAATTATTTCCCCCGCAATTCAGGACTCTTCATGGACACATCACTATTTTTAAATAGGAGTACAACTTTGACTTTGTCTAATAGACTAGTAACTAGTAATTAAGCTTTAACAATACTACGCTAGTGTTTGGCCATAGAATTTCAAATATTTTTGACAAATATTTTTATTTGGGTGAAATTTCACCATTTGTTTGGTCATAATATTTGGAAAACATTTCACTTTTTTAGAAAAAATATGATATATACCCATAAGTTTTAAAATTAATCATAAGTTTGTATTACAAGTTATCTTCGTTGCAACAAAAAACAAGGATTGTCCATGACACTAAAGCAATGTGTTAGTCTGGAGTCAGTGCAACAAGCATCATTCCATACACCGTGAAGTAGACAAAACACATGACTTTGTTACCCTGAGCCGATTATTTATCATTTTCATCAACAACCATATCATCACTTTCATATTCACTGAATATTTTATCACTACTTTGATGTTCACGTATAGAATTATGTAATACAGCGTAAACAACTACTATAGAGGGTGTTTTTGTAAAAGATAAAAGTTTGGTGTAGAATTTGAATTTTTAAAAGATCCAAAATAATGAGATTTGACCCAAATACTAGTTTTTTTCTAGTATTTGGAAATTTGGGTTATTTGCCAGAAATATTTGCCAAATTGTATGGACAAACACTATTTGCCAACTTCTCCCCCAAATTTTACTTGAGAAATCTATGATCAAACAGGTCCTACATTATTTGCTTGGTAAGGATACGATTTGCGTATAACGCGTATACTACATTCTTTTCAGGTCCACTTATAGAATCACATTGAATATGTTGTTGTTGTTCGTTTATATAGAATATTGGTTGTTGGATGTATACATAATACATTAATTGTGACATTATATCCAAACAAAGTTTTTATAGAACTTGTACATAACTCTACTTGATAATAAATTTTTTAATTATTCTATCCGAGACTACAACACAATCGGTTATTTTGCGTGCCAAAATAATTTAACAGAAATTCAAACTGAAATTGAAGAAAAGATATACCGGCACATTATTGGCTTGTGTGCGTTATGCATTTAACTTATATGTATATTGATTTCATCGGCCTACTTGTTGAGTTATTGTCAACCCATTGTTGGAAGTGTTGTATAGCTTAGAAGACGAAGAAGATGTACTTGCACCAGCACTATTTCTTCGTGCTATAAAAGCTGGTTGATTTGGTCTTGGTAGTGTTATGCTTTCACCTCCAAGCATAAAAACAACATTTGACATTACAGGACGCTCAGCTGGATCTTCTTGAACACATAGGAGTGCCACATTCACGCACTTTAGCACTTCACTTTCATCGCACGACTCAACTATGGTTTGATCCATCATGTCTAATGCACTGTCTTTCATCCACAGTCTCCATACCTGTGAAATGCTAATTTTGAGTCAATGAAAGCTTTAAGTAGAATGAGATGTATATTAATGAGGGAAATTTTGGTACTTACATGACCAATGAGGTTAACATCTTCGAAAAATTCCATGTTTCTCCTCCCACTTATGATCTCGAGTAGGACTACTCCGAAGGCAAATACATCAGACTTGATTGAAAAGAGTCCCTCCAATGCATACTCCGGAGACATATAGCCACTGTTTTTAGTGTTCCAGAATAGGTTATTTTAGCATCTAATTTGTGTAAACCAATACATATAGTGAACTAATACCAAGTTTTAGATGTATATATATCTATCTTTTACCCACCAAATCAAAGGTGAAAACAGAACCAAGAGACTTACTATGTTCCAACGACTTTGTTAGTATTGGCTTCTGTATTTTTGCCTTCAATGATCCTTGCCAAGCCAAAATCTGATATTTTGGCATTCATTTCTTCATCTAACAATATGTTACTTGTCTTTAGATCTCTATGAATGATCCTTAGCCTCGAGTCTTGGTGAAGATAAAGTAACCCTCGAGCAATACCCAATATAATTTCAAAACGAATCCTCCAGTCCAGTAATCGACAGAATGCATGATCTAATTTCAAGATTTGTAAGATAAATTCAGAGAGAATCAATCATAAAACTATTACTGCAACGAGTTTCATGGTAGGGAGGGAAGTATACTAACCGAATAGAAACGTATCCAAGCTTTTGTTGGGCATATATTCATATAACAAAATCTTTTCATTTCTCTCAACACAATAGCCTAGAAGCCTAACTAAATTTCTGTGCTGCAGTTTGGCAATCAACATTACTTCAGTTTTAAATTCTTCAACACCTTGTCCAGAATTACTTGACAACCTTTTAACTGCCATATCTGTACCTCCGAGAAACTTACCCTGCATAAATATATCTCCAGACTGTTAAATAACGAAAACGAAAGAAAAAAATCTGAATGGTAAAACAACTTAGAACAGAAGAAGGAAAAAAAAAAAAAGTTGCAAAAACCTTATAAACAGGTCCAAATCCACCTCTCCCGAGCTTACTTGCATTTGAGAAGTTTTCGGTAGCAACTAGTATGCTATTGAAGCTGAAAAACGGGACATCAATCCGTTTCTTATCATCTTCAGTGATTAAATCTTCATCAAAACTATCTCTATGAGGCAAGTACTCAATAGGCATTCCCAAAACAATTTCTCTGGCTTCTATAATCAAAACAATTGAAGTGATTACGATATCCAAAAGTTGGAGTAGTTGAGAAAAAGCAGATGAAATTTCTACATTGTTACCTTTACTTCTTGCCGATCTTTTCAGATAAATTATATAAATAATACCACACAGAACCATAACTCCAAGAATTACAGAGATGGAAATAACTAGGGGTTGCTGATTCCGTGAGGATGTCTGCATCGGTGTATTGTTCAATGTTCCAACTTCCGAAGACAATTCAATAAATGAAACAAGCTAAGTGTTGGTATCAGAAAGGTAAAATGAAGAATTTATGGTCAGACATCAGCTTCTTACCATTAAGGGGCACGCGGACAGAGAGGTTGAAACCACCAGTGTAGTTCTCCTGGAGATTATTGAGATTCGACCCCCAAAACCAGCATCCAGAATCGTTATAATATGTATATGCTTTGCACGAGCAGTCGCTTAAACAATGACTCATGCAGTTCTCATTGGTATTAATCTTTTTATCTGTCCAATTTGAATTTCCAAATTTCATTGAGCTCAGATGCACAAATGTGTCTTCTTTGCAAGAGTTCTCTGATATTCTCGAACATCCACCTGAATATTCCCCATCTCCATAATCTTCTCGAGAATCACTCTGAAACCCACGCAAACAGCTGCATTCTGAACTTTCATTGCTGTTACAAATCTCAAATTTCCCACATTTTCTAAACTGGTCGCATTTATCTTTTGGGGCAAACCAGACCAAGGACCATCTACTCTGGCTATCCCGTAAGTAGAATTGTATTTCTCCAGAGGAGTGCATCAGGAGTCTAGCACTTTCGAAAATAGAATTTTTGTTACTATGATTGACTAACCTTGAAAAATCAATCGGAGTAAAACTACGATTATTATTGAATAATGTTCTTGTCGCTTCCACTGAATTATTGAATAATGTTCTTGTCACTTCAACTAAATTATTGGATAAAAAGAAGGTTACAAAAGAGGGCATATCATTGAATCTGAAGTATTTATAAGCAGTTGAGTTCGCAAACCCTCCTACAGACCCTTGCCAGTGAATTTTACCCACTCCGTTCTCAACTATCACATATTTTTTGTTGTCTCCTTGATCTACTTTGAATTTGTACTTCCAATCTCCAGAGCCTTCCCAAGAAGTTAATTCCAGACTCTCCATATTCATGCCAGGAAGGAAAGTATTCGTTGGATTCTGAAAACTCTGCCAAATTTTAACTCCTAATTCATTAACTAAAACCAAATTCCCTGTATCCAACAACTCTGCTTTAACGCCAGACTTATCATCATCTACTCCTGAGGAGAAATAAGTGTATCCACTAATTGAATTCAAAACTTTGAGGTTACCATCTTCAACGACAATGGAAACATTCACCTTATTTTTTGTTGAATACTGAATCGAAACATTCCAATTAGCAACCCATACAACAGTTCGAGGTCTTAACTTGTAATACCATATGCCTACATACCTGTTTAACCCTTCAGAAAAGAATCCCATTTCGAAGTTTTCTCCATCAGATACCAGTGTTTCCCCGTTGTCTATTAACTCACTCTTTCCATCGATCGTGCTCCTTGCATCACATCCACATATAATCACCAACACTGCAAACAACAACAAGACAAAATTACTCATTTGCATAACATAAACTTTTCCAGCAACTACTTGAGTCAGTAACATTTTTTATGGTGTTTGATGATATGAAAAAGTTAACATTCACTTCAAATGGAACCTATACTACTAAATGTTTGATTGAGAGTACAGTCAACTCACCAAGTCAATGGTCGTCCTAGCTGTTTTTTCAGCCAACCATTGAGACTTTATATGATAAAAACACTTTGTTTCTATTACTCAACTATTTGTAATCTACTTATAATAATACTATGTATAATTGAGTGAGTAATAAACTTCACACACATGATAAGCTATGGAGAATTGATATAGAGTAAATTACTTCCTCTGTCCAAAATGTAACTAGGGTGTTTCAGAGACTAAAGTAATTCTTGATTTCATTTGTACAAGTTCCATCATATTATTAGACATTTAGATTCTACTGCAAAATACTGTTAGAATTACTTTCTAATTCTCATTTACTGTATGGTGTGACTTCACATAAAAACGAAGAAAAGTATTCAAAATGTTTAATAATTTAGGACTAGTATTATTGACAGAAATATAACCACATATATTGTTTTCATTTTTATAAGATGAAAGAAATGAGACGACGAAAAATCTAAGTCGAGTCAACTTTGGAGTACAGGATTTTCTCGTACACTATAGCTAATTTATTAGCTCTTCCTTTATTTTCTCTATCGACAAATAAGACGTATGGTCCTATATATCTCACAAAATGATTCCTGGAATCAAATTATTTTTTTATTTTTTTTATATGGACAAAGACTGAAATCCAGTTCTACATATTTTCAGACGACATAATTATAAATTATGTCATTTAACTTTGTTTAAGTTACACTCTGTTTGTATCATTGTTACTCATTTATTTGATCCAAATACTAGATTTTTCTAGTATTTGGGAATTTGGGTTATTTGTCAAAAATATTTGCCAAATAATATCAAATTGTATGGACAAACACTATTTGCTAATTTTTTTCCCCAAATTTTACTTGAGAAATCTATGGCCAAACAGGTCCTACATTATTTGCTTGATAAGGATAAGATCTGCGTATACTCGTTTATATAGAACTAGTCCTAGACACGTGAGTTCCGTGAAATGTATGAATTACTGGCAAAATCACATTTTAATCAGTATCACAAGCTATTTAAAAAAGTACAATTTAAAATAGATGAACAATCAATGTATTCAAATAACTTCTTTATTGTATATCAAATGATTAGACATTTGATGAACCTGCAAAATTTAGTTTGGTATCTAAAATAATGAGTTACATTTTTATGTTATTAGGTCCAAGCATATGATATATTAGTATGTGCAAAAATGAATAACAAAAATGATTAAGGGTTCTCATTTAAATGCACAATAAGAAAACTTCTACATATACCTTAAATTGATATCTATACTTCAAGTCCAACACTCATACAATTTTAAATGATTCATGGAAGAAAAATTTTATAATGGAGAAAGAAAGCAAGAACGAAAAGTTGAGGATATTGCAAAGAAAGTCTTCATGCCCTGAAAAGAAAACTTTGTTATTGTTAGAGACAACATATCAACATAAGATTGTTCACTGTTTAATACTACACATGTATTAAATTTACTCCTTTTTGCTATTTTTTCTTCTTGATTACCAATTTTCAGCATTTTTTTGGTTATCCTCACCTGCAACTTCTAACTCTCTTATCTTCTCATGTTGAATTGAGTAATTTCCATAATTCAATTTCCTATTGTGAGTCTCCATCTTTGCAAGTTGGTTCTTAAATAGCATTAGGAAATGACCCTTTAATTTTAAATTTTAATTTTGAAATTGATTTCTACATTAAAGTGATGAATGACTTTCCATATCATAACTTTTCAAATTCTTCCATTATGAGATTTATTATTATGATTAAAAGCAATATCAATGTACTCATTTATCAAGAAAATGATAATTTAATTTTTTTTTATTAAAGGGCTTAAGGACTTCAAATTCTACCATTATGTAATTAAAATATTTATATTTAATCAAATTTTAATTTAGTAGAGGGGCAAAATGGTAATTTAACTTTTCACTTTGGAGCTTCCCACTTATGATAATATATGATATGATGCTGGTTGCTGGTTGCTGGTTGCTGGAGCCTGGATGTATGGAAAAATTCTTTTGGCCAGAAAATTTGGTCAGAATTTGGCTAGAATGGTAAAATAACATATTTCACACTATGTTATTTTACATTTTTACCATTTTAACTTTAATACCTTTTAATTAAAAAAAATGGAAAAAAGATCCGTTTATTTTAAAATAAAAGGATATTATAGACTTTTAAATTTTCTGGTCATTTAGCATTAACCCTGGATGTATACATAATACATTAATTGTGACATTATATCCAAACAAAATTTTTAGAGAACTTATACATAAATCTACTTGATAATAATTTTTTTAATTATTCTATCGAGACTAACTCAATCGGTTATTTAGCGTGCCAAAATAATTAACAGAAATTCAAACTGAAATTGAAGAAAAGATATACCGGCACATTGTTGGCTTATGTGCGTTATGCATTTAACTTATATATATCGATTTCATCGGCCTACTTCTTCAGTTATTGTCAACCCATTGTTGGAATTGTTGTAGAGCTTAGAAGACGAAGAAGATGTACTTGCACCAGCACTATTTCTTCGTGCTATAAAAGCTGGTTGATTTGGTCTTGGTAGTGTTATGCTTTCACCTCCAAGCATAAAAACAACATTTGGCATTACAGGACGCTCAGCTGGATCTTCTTGAACACATAAGAGTGCCACATTCATACACCTTAGCACTTCATTTTCATCGCACGACTCAATTATGGTTTGATCTATCATGTCTAATGCACTATCTTTCATCCACAGTCTCCATACCTGTGATAAGTAATTTTGAGTCAATGAAAGCTTTAAGTAGAATGAGATGTATATTATTAATGAGGGAAATTTTGGTACTTACATGACCAATGAGGTTTACATCTTCAAAAAATTCCATGTTTCTCCTCCCACTTATGATCTCGAGTAAGACCACTCCGAAGGCAAATACATCAGACTTGATTGAAAAGAGTCCCTCCATTGCATATTCCGGAGACATATAGCCACTGTTTTTAGTGTTCCAGAATAGGTTATTTTAGCATCTAATTTGTGTAAACCAATACATTTTGGTGTGTATATATCTATCTTCTTCCCACCAAATCTAAGGTGAAAGCAGAACTAAGAGACTTACTATGTTCCAACGACTTTGTTCGTATTAGCTTCTGTATTTTTGCCTTCAACAATCCTTGCCAAGCCAAAATCTGATATTTTGGCATTCATTTCTTCATCTAACAATATGTTGCTTGTCTTTAGATCTCTATGAATGATCCTTAGCCTCGAGTCTTGGTGAAGATAAAGTAGCCCTCGAGCAATACCCAATATAATTTCAAAACGAATCCTCCAGTCCAGTAATCGGCAGAATGCATGATCTAATTGCAAGGTTTGTAAGATAACTTCAGAGAGAATCAATCATAAAACTATTACTGCAACGAGTTTCGTGGTAGGGAGGGAAGTATACTAACCGAATAGAAACGTATCCAAGCTTTTGTTGGGCATATATTCATATAACAAAATCTTTTCATTTCTCTCAACACAATAGCCTAGAAGCCTAACTAAATTTCTGTGCTGCAGTTTGGCAATCAACGTTACTTCAGTTTTAAATTCTTCAACACCTTGTCCAGAATCACTTGACAACCTTTTAACTGCCATATCTGTACCTCCGAGAAACTTACCCTGCATAATTATATCTCCAGACTGTTATATAACGAAAACGAAAGAAAAAAATCTGAATAGTAAAACAACTTAGAACAGAAGAAGGAAAAAAGAAAAGAAAATTGCAAAACCTTATAAACAGGTCCAAATCCACCTCTCCCGAGCTTACTTGCATTTGAGAAGTTTTCGGTAGCAACTAGTATGCTATTCAGGCTGAAAAAGGGGACATCAATCCGTTTCTTATCATCTTCAGTGATTAAATCTTCATCAAAACTATCTCTATGAGGCAAGTACTCCATAGGCATTCCCAAAACAATTTCTCTGGCTTCAATAATCAAAACAATTGAAGTGATTTACGATATCCAAAAGTTGGAGTAGTTGAGAAAAAGCAGATGAAATTTCTATATTGTTACCTTTACTTCTTGCCGATCTTTTCAGATAAATTATATAAATAATACCACACAGAACCATAACTCCAAGAATTACAGAGATGGAAATAACTAGGGGTTGCTGATTCCGTGAGGATGTCTGCATCGGTGTATTGTTCAATGTTCCAACTTCTGAAAACAATTCAATAAATGAAACAAGCTAAGTGTTGGTATCAGAAAGGTAAAATGAAGATTTATGGTCACACATCAGCTTCTTACCATTAGGGGGCACGCGGACAGAGAGGTTGAAGCCACCAGTGTAGTTCTCCTGGAGATTATTGAGATTCGACCCCCAAAACCAGCATCCATAATTGTTAGAATATGTATATGCATTGCACGAGCAGTTGCTTAAACAATGACTCAGGCAGTTCTCACTGGTATTAATCTTTCTATCTGTCCATTCTGGATTCACAAATTTCATTGAGCTCAGATTCATAAATGTGTCTTGTTTGCAAGAGTTATTTGATATTCTCGAACATCCAGCTGAATATACCCCGTCTCCATAATATTCTTGAGGATCACTCTGAAACCCAGGCAAACATCTGCACACTTGCCTGTCTTTGATGTTACAAATCTCAAATTTCCCACATTGTCTGAACTCGTCGCATTTGTCTTTTGGGGCATACCATAACGTGGACCATCCAGTCTCGTTATCCCAAAAGGTGAAATGTATTTTATCATCGGTCATCAGGAGTCTAGAATGTTCGTAAATAGAATCTTTGTTACTATGATTGGCTAAGCTTGAAATATTCAATAATGTTCTTCTCGCTTCATCTGAATTATTGGATAAAAAGAAGGATACAAAAGAGGGCATATCATTGAATCTGAAGAATTCATAAGCAGTTGAGTTCGCAAACCCTTGCCAGTGATTACCCACTCCGTTCTCAACTATCACATATTTTTTGTTGTCATTTTGATCTACTTTGAATTTGAACTTCCAATTTCCAGATCCTACCCAAGATGTTATTTCCAGATTCTCCATATTCATGCCTGGTAGGAAAGTATTCGTTGGATTCCGAAAACTCTCCCACACTTTAGTTCCTGATTCATCAAATAAAACCAAATTCCCTGTATCCAACAACTCTGCTTTAACGCCAGACTTATCATCATCTACTCCTGAGGAGAAATAAGTGTATCCACTAATATTCAAAATTTTGAGCTTACCATCTTTAATGACCATGGAAGCATTCTCCTTTTTTCTTGTTGATTCCGCTATCGAATCATTCCAATTAGCAACCCATACAATAATTAGATAACCTGGCCTGTTATACCATATGCCTACATACCTCTTTAACCCTCCATCACCACGAAAGAATCCCATTGCGAAGTTTCCTCCAGTAGATACCAGTATTTCCCCGTTGTCTGCTAACTCACTCCCTTCATCGATCGTGCTCCTTGCATCACATCCACATATAATCACCAACACTGCAAACAACAACAACAACAGAAAATTACTCATTTGCATACCATAAACTTTTCCAGCAACTACTTGAGTTTTATGGTATTTTCATGATATGAAAAAGTAAAGGCATGCACTTCAATAAATGCTTGATTGCGAGTACAGGGTCCTCCTTAAATTATTTTAGCTGCTTTTTCAGCCAACTTTTTTTATGTGATCAATTTTTTTTTCTATTACTCAATCATCACTCCAATTATAATTGAGTAACTTTTTTGAGTAATAAACTTCACACGCATGGTAAGCTTTGGAGAATTCATAGAGTAAATTAACTTTACTCTATAATATAATTGAGTGACTATTTGAATAATAAACTCCGAAAAACTTTTAACCTATGGTAAACTTTTTTATTCTTGATTTCATTTGTACAAATTCATCATATTATTAGACATTTAGATACTACTGCAAAATACTGTTAGAATTACTTTCTAATTCTGATTTACTGTTTGGTGTGACTTCACATAAAAAGAAGAAAAGTATTCAAAATCTTTAATAATTTAGGACTAGAATTATTGAAAGAAATATAACCACATACATTGTTTTCATCTTTATAAAATGAAAGAAATGAGACGACAAAAAGTTAGAGTCAAGTCATTTTCTTTTTTTTTAGTTAAAGTTAAAGTCAAGTCTGTCAAAACTCAGAATGAAAGCAGCAAATCACCATTAATGGTGGATTCTAGAAAATACTGAACTCAAAGTTAAGAGAGAGCTGATTGAGAAAACACATTTCTCATTTCTGAATTATGAAAACTGAATGTGAACTAGATATAGTGAGCTATATATCTACAGACTGGAAATCTGAAAAAATATCTAGCTAACTCAATTCTAACAACTAGGACAGCTGGCTAATGGAAAGCTAACTAACTACAAAAACTGTTAACTAACTAACTCTGTGAAAATAACACTGTTTAAACTAACTAACTAATTATGCATAAATTTATTAATCTCAACACCCTCCTTCAAGTTGGAGGTGAGGTAAACACAACCAATTTGTCCATCATAGCAGACTGTTTGATTCCAGTGAGAGACTTCGTGAGGATATCAGCCAATTGATCACCAACGTTGATGTGATGTGATGCAATGAAATTAAACCTTCTTGAAGCTTGGATCTAACAAAGTGGCAATCGACCTCCATGTGTTTGGTTCTCTCGTGAAAAACTGGATTCTTGACTATGTGAAGTGCAGCATGACTGTCACAATATACTGGGAAAGGACAAATAGGAGGAACAGTTAACTCAGTGAACAATCGACGTAGCCAAACCAATTCTCCAACAACTTTTCGTAATGATCTGTACTCAGCTTCTGCAGAAGATAACGAAATGGTCTCCTGCTTCTTAGATTTCCAGCTGATGGGACTGTTTCCTAGCAAGACAATGTAGCTACTAACAGATTTTCTAGAGTCAAGGCATGATGCCCAATAGGAGTCACAAAAATCTTGAACTTCAAAATCAGGAGAAGATGACATGAAAATGCCCAAAGTGGGATCATTTTTAAGATACCTCAACAGGTGAAAAGCAGCTTGAAGATGAGGTTCTCTGGGATCTTGCATATATTGACTCAAATGTTGAATTCCATAGGCAATATCAATTCTAGTATGAGTAAGGAAATTCAGCTTCCCTACCAACTTCCTATACAAGGTAGGATTACTCAATGGTCTGCCAACTTCCTATACAAGGTAGGATCACTCAATGAGTTATCCTATGTGACGATTCACATCCTACACGTATTATATCATGTAGAAATATGTGTCCACCCATTGATCATCTTTATACATGTTTAAATGTTATTTGTGGACACTCAAAGTTGGAAGGCGTAGATCCTAACTCAAATAAAATTAAGGGACATGTTTATGCATTATGTCTTTGAAGACTCCTATTAAAAAATATTTTAGGACTGATAAATGAACAGATTCAAATTGATTTTAGGCAAGTCAAAATGAGTTTGAATCATTGGTCATTGTGCACCTATGCTTAGTTGGGCTGAAAATTGAAAAGGAGTAAACAATGATTGTTAACCCAAATAAGCCCAATTTGGGTAACAATCCAACATATATATATTTTTAATTTGTACTTTACGTTACTATTATAGAAGTGTGAGTAATGGAGTGGTATCAACATGTCAGTTTTAAAATTCAAATTGAGGGCATTTTTTACTTTTAACATACTATAGAAAATGTGTGTTGAATCTAAAGTACCATGGTATCTCACATTCAATTTCAAAGCTTGTGTTAATCGATTATTATCTTCTCTCTTCAAAATACGGCATCAAAGACAAAGAAGAGACCACCAATTTCATCCCCTAAAAATTTTCCTAAAGAAGTAGTGAAGTGTGACCTCCTTTTTAGCTGTACTTTTTTGAGTTCCAGTTCCAATTGTGGATCATTGTTATAGAAAATTCAATAGAGATCCACAATTGAGAAGTCGGTGTCTTATGTATTAATTTTACAAGATATTGTTTAGTTCTATTTTTTTTTCCTTATATTTCCGGATTTTACTGTTTGTGATTCTAATAGTGATGGGTCGTTGTTCCCTTTAATTTACAATTGTACGCTTTAGTTATGGAGTGTGGTTGATATTACTGAAAGTTGTTACAACAACATGATGCAATTTCAAACGACAAAAGCTTGATAGTATATTAACAATAAGCTAGATTTTTAATATAAGATGTAAGATTAATCTATGAATGAAATACAACAATACTTAACAAGGTTAATATTATCTAGTAATAATTAGAAGAAGCAATAAGGGATCATTTGGTATATGATTTAGATATGAGTTAATGTAGTTATAAGTAATATACTATTGTCGGTAGTTGATTAGGAGGTAAATTATCATGTATAAAATTAATACGGTGTTTGATTTGTAATTTAAATATCTGTATAACTAATACATGTATAAGTTATGAGAGCATCTATATATTATTTGATACAAAATAGAAGGCAGAATAACTAATCCCATCTTAATTTTTGAGTGCACAGTCTTATGCTATTCCACAATCTTAATTTTATTCTTAATTTTCGAGTTGACGATATTCTTAATTTTATTTAGTAGAACAAAATACTGGTCATTTTAACAAACATACGATAATTTAAACAAAAGTCGATATGTCCGAGTGGTTAAGGAGACAGACTTGAAATCTGTTGGGCTTCGCCCGCGCAGGTTCGAACCCTGCTGTCGACGTTTATTTTATTTTTATTTATTTTGTATTAATAAATTTTCCAAAAATCCGTAGAAGGGATTTTTGTAGCATATCCTCTCCAATATACTCATACTCGATGTATTTTGACAGGTAGATACTATAAAGGTCAGAATGTATATAGATCTTATCTTGCTTCGTGAAAATAGAGAGATTTTTTCTGAAAGAACAACAACTCAAGCAACACAAGAAAATACTACTTGTTATGAAATTCATTGTATGAAATATCCATACATATTCACTAGTTCTATGAATTTTTTGTATGTTACAATTTCCCTATTAATTTGGTCACTTAACATTTATAATATTTGGGTGATTTATCATCCTATAAATTAAGATGTCATTCACCTTTTAAAAACATACTACAAATACACTTGAATAAAATAATCTCTATATTCTTCTCTGCCGAACTTAATCGACCTTCTGGTAATATGGTCCACAATCAAATGAAATATTCAGGTTATGGTGCC